AAGGAGTGGTGATAATCCGTCTCTGCCAGGCCAGTTTAGTCTTGAAGGAGTGGTGATAATCCGTCTCTGCAAGACCAGTTTAGTCTTGAAGGAGTGGATGTTAATCCGTCTTTGCCAGGCCAGTTTAGTCTTGAAGGAGTGGTGATAATCCGTCTTTGCCAGGCCAGTTTAGTCTTGAAGGAGTGGTGATAATCCGTCTTTGCCTAGGCCAGTCTATTCTTGAAGGAGTGATGATAATCCGTCTTTGCAAGGCCAGTTTAGTCTTGAAGGAGTGGTGATTTTACGTTTCTTCAAGGCCAATGGTGATTTGAATGCTTATAGCGCCCTTGATATTTTGTACATTTTTCGATAAATCTCAGTAGACTTAATCTATCGGTTAGAACGATAAGAGAAACGGTGTCCTGATCTCTTATTCTCTCTTACTTGGAGAACCTTTAGTGTGGGTTAAACAGTGATCTGCCGTTTCTGAAAGCATATTTTCGAGTACTGTTGTTGTTTGAATGATTTTCATTGTAGGTATTACGCCTCATTCGTTATGTATATCTATACAGATTGTACGATATTAATAACTAAAATATAAACATTTTTTCCAACTTTTAGCTGTTTAATATTTAAACTTTAGTTACAATAGTTATCATCTTATTCACTAGATGGCAAGAAACGAAGAACTATATACATGTGTGTCTTATAGGACCCATTGTTGAAACTATAAACATCATCACCTAGATTGTCAGTATTGATAGTACTATGACTAGTTTTGTTTTTCTTCAGCATTACTTTTCTTGACAATGAATGAACCTAAAATGTAGTAAGATGTTTTTATGCCAGCGCTGTGGGGCTAGCTTGTGTATAATATCAAGTGACCGTCACGACCTCTAGTTGTTTCATATACACATTTACGCGACCTGTTAATAATTGAATCAAACATATTATGAAAGTAAATGCCTTGGTGTCGTGGAATATCAGTGTATTAAATGTGATGTCTACGATAAAAGATATAGATGAACGTGTGCAGTGGGAAAGACAACTTTAAGAGTTTTTTTATTGTTTCGCCCAAATAAATGAGCAGATGAATATTATTTTACGCAGATATTGTAGAACAAAACGATGTTTCCTGTGAAAGATGTGGTCGACTTAGTGTTATAAATGTGCAAAATTACTCACTTTTTTTTCTTCGGTTAGACCTCTTAATGTTTTGGCTTGTTATTATTAAGAAAATATATAAATTTGAAGTATTATAGCTGTTGTAGAAAGGATTTTGAGAATTTTAATTTCAACTACAATTTATACGTGTTGATTAACAAATATATTTTTATGTTATACTAAGTATTTTAATATTAAATAGTTTCCAACATACATTCTCGAATGTCTTTGCACTTTCAATCTAAAATATAGTGAATTTTATAAATTTAAATGTGGTGATCTAATATCTTCTCAGACTATCTCCATATTATGCTAAATAGTTTTTACGTTTCAGGTTTTTACCAACTTTTGTATAGAAGATGGCACAAGTTCTCCTTCCTCGAATGATGAGAGAAAAGAGATTGAAGGCAAAACATCGCTGTCCGAACTTGCTCCGCCTGCCATTATCTTTCGAGAAAATGAAGACCCGCCTCTTGCGCCACCTGTCGACAGTTTTGGAGTTCCCGAATGTGCATTAAACAACACTAGCACCTTTTGTGAAGAAATACCCGATTATCCCAAGTAATTTAAATATAACAAGTCATAATGGTATATCTTCTAAAGGAACAGAGAAATGAGTGTTGTATCTAGGTTGAGTAGTTTATAGATAAAAAAACTTCATAGCAAAATGTAAATCTTTGCTAATGTTTTCAAAACGGCTTTAGGGGCGCAGCCTGACAACCGAAAAACGTGAAGAAATGATTGCCAGTCTGATAATAAAACTTTATAGCCTTATCCTATCAATTCGCAGAATATTTTATTCACAGGAAATTAAGTTGCCTGTAACTTTACTGATATTCTTTGCGCAATGTATTTTTGTAACATGTTCTCTCGTGGAGCGGACTTTTTTGGAATATCTAAGTCCAGTTCACGTCACGATAACGAATTTATTTATTTCTTCAATAGCTTTTGACACAGGCTACATTCACTCGTAGGCCTAACTTGCCTATAAACTTACTTGTGAAATTACTTTGCTAATCGATCAAACACGCAAACTAACCTACTGCTAATTAACTCGCAAGCAAATATACGCAGTAATTTTCATTGTATAAGTCAGTAAAATATACTGAACTGATAAACTCATTTAATACTCACTGATTCTGGTGTTTATATTGTTCTCATTTTCTGCTTACTACATGAATTTTCCAGATATTACATCATCATCATCATCATGACATAATGACACGTCCACTCTAGTAAACAAACATCTAAATTAAAATGTAAAACTTAGAAAAGCATCGTTACGCCAGATTTCTCCTATATCATAATTTAGTTTATTCAACTTGTTTTATTACTACAAGTGCTGTAAATGTTTACTTGTTTTGTTTATTTTTTCACTTTCACAAATGCGTTAAATCAAGAAATAGTAAACGAAGAAGACAGCATTACCGAATTTGCCAAATAGATTTAAAAGTATTAAATAAAGCACGTGAAAATATTTAATGTACGAAGTACCCTGCGACAGAACAGACTTAACAAATGATGACCAATACTGGTTTTTTTTTAAATATCAATGCAAATTTTGATAAATCATATATAAAACTATTAAGACGAGAATTTGAAAGGAGAAAATAACGACAGTATTCGATTCGAACAAGTTGGAGTGCCTGACTCACGACTTTTAATAAAACACTTGAATCTTCATTTTTACTTATCTTGACACTCTAGGATTTTTGGAACTTTTTCTAATGTAAGAAGTTTGTGTATTCATTTAAGCCTGTAGCTAAAGAACATAGAGTTCAGTATCGTCCTTCAGCTTGTTGGTCATGACGGGGAACCATTTAGCAACAGTTTCAGTCCTTTAACAATTCCAGGTTGAAAGACAAACAAATTGATTTTAAAACTTTATACTTTAGTATAGTTAACGATATTATTAGTTTTAACTCCTCCTATATCACTCCAGAAATATTTCTACGATAAAAATGTTTTATATCCTGATCACCAGCTTTGTTGTTCTTCTGCTAAGTTAATCATCACAGAAAAATTATAATAAATATTGTTTAATCTATACATAACTGTTTTAAGGTTTGTTTTGTAAGGGAAGCAATACTAGTGCAGATAATGATAAAGAAATAATTCATTCTGGTAAGTTATCTACTGTTTACTATGCATACTGGTAGAGCAAGTTAACAAAAATGGTTTTAACTAGAAGAAATGACCTCACATGTACTTGCAATACACAACAGGTATCTGCAACACCTGTATTGGCTTGATAAATGCTGAGTAAAGAAATAAGTGATCACGAACAGCAGAGGAGGACGTGCAGAAATTAATGAATAAAAACACCAAATCTCTATTCTTACATGAATGTCTGGGGATTTCACTAGGCGGCTTCAGCAGTCGTTATCAAATGCAGCTGGAAACAATCGGGAAAAGGTTTTTAATTGACAAAGACAAGAATCCCAATTATGAGTCATGGCACTGTTAAATCAGAACGAGTGTTCCCAGTGCAAGAAATCACAATCTCAGATTTCTTTCGTTAACAGTCATTCAAGCTATATATTTCTACTCATACTAACTTGTACAAGTTGTTGTATCATCCTTCGAAATGAGTATTAACTTATTTCAAGAAGGTAAGGCACAGAAACATGGACAAGTAAGTACATGTTTTATAGAATAAGAGTTGTGATACATAACCTTTGTCTAAGCTAGAATTAGCGCTAGTTTACCTCCACTCTAAATTATATTTAGAAGGATGCCACCTAACTGCATGCAGACCATTTGCAAAAAAGGTTTTGAAATTTAACTGAATATACCTAAATAAAGATGTATTCAGTCTATGTCATAGATTGGCAAATGTACAGTTTTTCCATGTGCTAGCTTGTCGTGACGATAAATCATGATGATTCCAAGGTCAGATGCACTTGGTATTTTTTACGCTCACGATTGTTTGTTTTATTCTTTGACTTTGAATTCGTTAGTCCCTAAAGATTGAAAAGGTCAAGTTCAATATGTTCTTCTGAAAGAAAGAATAGAATGAATTTTGAACTCAGTAGAGGCAGTGATTTTCGAACTGTTTCTGGCTGTTTCTTTAAATGTTCTTCAAGTTTTATCCATATATATAATAATTATTTTCAATTAATCTATAAAATGTCACCATTACTTTATCATTAGTGATTTTAAGCATTTTGTATCAATATTCACATAATGTTTGCTAACTTATTAAACTGTTTCTGAAATGAAATTTCAAAACGTGGAAGCTTTTCGTATAACGCCAAAATTACAAATTCATTTCAGGAAGTGGAAGTAACTAAGCATGTCATATATAGGTTCTAATTTCGGAAGCTTTTTTCAGGACATTGTTATAATTTTAGTTATACCATAAGAAAAATAATACATATATTTTATTTAAACCCATTTTGTAAACAATTCAGTATCACTAAGATAAAATAAATGGTTAGTTATATATCTTTGTATTATACCGTTTTCGAATAAACGTTGATACAAACGGTTTTAAAAATGTACGGTTCATGACTTTAAAACTGTTAATTAATTTCATTTTTCCTTGTTACAGCGCAGAAATACTGAAAGCAATGAGTAAGTTATCGAAAGATGCCTTAAAAGTGGTATTTTCAACAGGAGTAGAAGGCAGGTCAGGCTACTCGATTGGTGACTTGTCGGAGACTCCACTGTGCGAATCTCAGACAAGAACATTTAGGCCAAAAGCAGGACAGACGAATGCGAAGGAATGGGTGTATGTTGTGAACAACGTTCATTACGAGCAACTGGTGACTGCCGAGACATGCCAGTGAGTTGAATAAGTAACATTGTAATGAACATATGAATAACTGCTGTGATGTTTTCGGTTTTTATTTATTTCATCAATATAATTAATGCCGAGAACCTTACAGCGAAATGAGATTGGTTTTCTCCGAGTTCTTTGCTTCTAAGACTAGTATTGTTAAAAAAACTAGGAATAATTCATTGTATAAAAAACGTATTGGTAAATAATAGCAAATTGATACTGAAATACAATTACACAGAATTAATAGAACATTTGTTTGTTTGTAATTAAGCACAAAGTTACACAATGGGCTATCCGTGCTCTGCCCACCACGGGTATCGAAACCTGGATTCTAGTTGTAAGTTCGCAGGCATACCGCTGTGCCACTGGGAGGCTAACAGAACGTAAAAATAACAATTGTAGTAATGCAATTATGTACAACTTAAAATCATTATCCCCGGTGGTCAATTCTCCAGTGGCTTAGCAGAAAGTCTGAAAGCTGATAACACTAAAAACTGGGTTTCGTTACCCTTGATGGGCACAGCCAAGATAGGCTATTGTGTAGCTTTATGCTCAATAAAAAACAAAAAACAAATCCCCAGTTTCAGTACTTCCAATGTCATGTGAGTGCTCTTAACTTAAAAACAATCCCTTTCTCACAGATATTTTGGCTCAAACTTGACCTCCTTTATCGTAAAAACTCTGATTATTTTACCTTCAAAAAGACGTCACTTTCTCGAAACAACTTTCATACTTAATGAAAACACACTGTCCAACATGAATGCAGCTCTATTTTCTCTCGGCTGTTGTTATTTATACATACAGTGTGTATATTATCTTATGAATTTAATTGCCCAAACGATAGTGGATTTTTGGATTCTCTTGTAGGGAGAAACTTACTGTACGTAAAAATTTATTTCTGTTGGAAATTTATGTTCCTTTGAGGAAAGGGAGCCTACCAATTTTGTAATCCTTAGCTATATTATATAGAAATTTATGTTCCTTTGAGGAAAGGGAGCCTACCCATTTTGTAATATTTAGCTATATTATATAGAAATTTATGTTCCTTTGAGGAAAGGGAGCCTACCTATTTTGTAATCTTTAGCTATATTATATAGAAGAAAAGGTGTAAATACATTGACCCTGAAATGTATCTAAATATCTACTGGTACATGTACACGGTTAAATGAAGGTCAAGTTAAAACCCTTGAAACCCTTGAATGATGGGAAGTTCACTTTCCAGGCTGACATGCACAGCGTCTAGGGTATATTGCTTTAAACTTGTATAGTGAGGACTAGTGTTATAGGAAGTAGCCCCCCTCCCCTGAATACATGTAGATCTAGAAATATTTTTCGCGTTTGTACTTCTAAACATTGTGCAGAGGTCACGGGGACACAGTGTGGAAAATCACCAAACACCAGAAAAGGAAGATCTAAGAAGCCTTACACACACAAATGCCATAAAATACAATGAGCCACGGGAATCAGTAAGATCTAGAATCAATGTTAAAAACTTAAACTTTATAACGAAGTCCCTCTGTATAATAAAATTCGATACTATAACATTATGAAATGAAACAATAAAACCATTTAAACATCTAACTTAAACGGACGACGTTCTTTATTGATTAATCATCGAATACATGACAAATAAAACAATAAAATTAGATAAATATCCGACACAAACAGATGAAGTTCCTAAGCACAAAGGTACTCAATCTGTGCTTTGTTCACCACGGGTATCGAAACCCGGTTATTAGCATTATAAGTCCTCAGATTTACCACTGAGCCACTCGGGGGGGAGGGGCTTTTCCTGATTTTGTGGTCATGCAAATTTCGACCCCCCATTTTGTCCGCGAAATTTAAAAGCAAATGCCTACTCATTGATGTGGGAAGTAGCAGTACGAGGGCTCATCAGTACAAAAACATAATATGTAAAAAGGTAGCAAAATTAAAAAATAAGAAAGAGCAAAAATATATTAAAGTTGTGATATGTCAATGAATTTGTCAAGGTGTTCCATACATAATCTCAAATCAAACTTAAAGGAATACAATGCCCATTTAAAAAAAAACTTAAGAGCGTAGAAATAATAACAAAAGTGAACAACATGTAAAAGCTAAAACTAAAATGATAAAAATCAAGACACACAATAGTGTGTTGTGCAGTCTAAACAATGTACAGAACACACGGTAGTGAGTCGTTCGGTCTAAGCAATCTACAGGAAACACGGTAATGTGTCGTGCGGCCTAAACAATGTACAGAACACACAGTAGTGAGTCGTTCGGTCTAAACAATCTACAGGAAACACGGTAATGTGTCGTGCGGCCTAAACAATGTACAGGACACACAGTAGTGTGTCATGCGGCCAATAAAACAACCTGCAGGACACACTGTGTGTTATTAACAGGAGTGATAATTTAGCGATTTTACACCTTCAGTAGCTCGAACTGTGGTAATGCAAATTATCAAATATTTTCCGTGGATACGTTCTACTGTACTCTTACTTCACATTCCAAATTTCAAGGTGATCCGTTAAGAAATTTCTCAGATATAACATCACCAATTTTGATTGAGTTTCTTCCTATTTTGTTTCTTGGCACCGAAAGTACGGAAACTTTACTTGATAGAAAACCATACTTAACTTTTATGGATTTTTTTCAAATTTGGTACACTGACAAATCTTTACAACCTACAATTAGGAGTCTCATTTGGTGTAAATATAAATCACACTTGCAATGTTCTTCAACAAAAACCACCCAAATTTAACGCATTTTTTTGCGCACGCCTACACAAAAAGTCAGGAGAGCTATCCGTCTAACCTTTTTAGTACAGCTTCACCTGAGAATAAAAGTGGACCGTTTTAGTTTTTTGTCATTAGGATTAAAGACGACTGATTTAGAGTAGCAAAACTATAAAGTGAAAGGACGTACAGATACATAGGTATTGGTTAGGCCAAGCAAACTAGATTAGCTCAAGTTTCCAAAAGAATCATATAGGTGGACGGTTATTATTGATTATCGATTGCCAACCTTTCAGCACAAATTTACTAAATTTTATGAAATTATCCTAATTAAAGAGTGTTTAGCGTCATGTGATATTAGCAATTAGTATAAATAATTATGCTTGATACGGTTATACCGATTGCATGGGAGTGATGACAAGAAACTGTTAATCTAGATTCAATGGCGTTGCTGTAAACAAAGTTGTTAACACTATTTTCGAGAGGAAAAGCTACCACCACAGATTTTTAAGAATTTGGTTGGTTCTATAAAGTAAAGATATGTTCCGAATAATAGGGTTTCGATCCTAAATTTAATGTTGGTTACTATCGAGTGTCACTTTCTTATTTGGTGTGGTTTGTTGGTTTGTATTGACAAAAAATTATGATATTTAACCAAAAACACCTTAGGTGCGGCCAAAAAAGGATTGAACGTCCGACTTAAAGGAATGAAATCAAAATTTGCGGCCAAACTGGTTGCTACACTTATAACATTGATAAGAATATTACAACAAATATTCATTCATTTGTTAGCTAAGCTGCATATTTTGTTTTACCTACCATCATGTCCCAAGTTGAACAAAAACACGCGGTCTGGCGAACTAATGATTGAATATTTGCTGTGAAATTATTATCAATGCTATAAGTATAACTACCAGTTTTGATTTCATTGTTTAAGTCGCACGTTGAATCTTTTTTTTGGCATCACCTTTTTCTCACACCTAAAGTATTTTTATTAGATAATCTATAACAAGAGTAATTAAAGTAATAAATAAAAATTCGCGATCACTGGTGAAGAAACGTATGCATTTATTGACACCAGAAGAAGAACGTGGACGTAAAGAATAAGGATTCACTACAAACGAGATGGATTCACTGATACTTAAAGAAGAACGCGGACGTTAACAATAAGGATTCACTTCAAACGATACGGATTCACTGAGACCTAAAGAAGAACGCGGACGTTAACAATAAGGATTCACTACAAACAATACGGATTCACTGAGACCTAAAGAAGAACGCGGACGTTAACAATAAGGATTCACTACAAACAATACGGATTCACTGAGACCTAAAGAAGAACGTGGACGTAAAGAATAAGGATTCACTACAAACGAGATGGATTCACTGATACTTAAAGAAGAACGCGGACGTTAACAATAAGGATTCACTTCAAACGATACGGATTCACTGAGACCTAAAGAAGAACGTGAGATTTAAAAATAAGGATTCATTCAGATCGAAAGAAGAACGTGCAAGCTAAAAATAAGGATTTACGAACAATGAGGAGGAAATATAGCGGAAATAAACATAAAGGTTTAATAAGCTAGAAGAAAACTAAACGATTAAGTAAAGGTAAGGATTGCAAATAAAAACTATGTGACAGCGTCTTTCGGAAGAAATCAGGAAGTGAAGTCACGTGTTCAACAAGAATGCTCATTAATTACTGTTTTTATTTCTTTTAGTGCTTTACTGTTGCTGCAGATTTATATAATTGTTTGCTTTAATGAGATTTGTTTTCCCTTAATTAGAGAGGATGGAGAACCGTGCAGGTTCATCAACAACAACCTCCCATTAGGATACCGAAGTGTTTGTCGACAGCGCTATGCTTTCAAAACCCTTTTAGCTATAAAACCCAAAGATAAGGAGCCTTATAAAGAAGACTTTCGTTTCCCCTCTTGCTGCACTTGTTATGTTACTGTACCACCAGAGTTTCGAAGAAAACTACCAACAACTCCACAGACTTCTGTAGAGCCCTCTAGCGAGAGTGTTTAAAACAATTTCCATGAACAACTTATAGAATTCTGCTGTAATTAGTCTGTGATATGTTATACTCTATGCAACTGATGTATGACCATATAAGAAATGTTTGTTTTCGATAAAGATAAGCTCTTAACTGAAGATGTATCTTTGTTGTCTCGTTGCATGGTAACTACACTAGATGATTACAATCCGTATTTGAGCACCTATTTCAAGTGCTACAAGTCACACACCTTTTTCAAATTATAAGAGACAGTAAATGAAAGTAATATATTTACACAAAGAACCAAAGTTAATTAAAAAAGACGTTTTGGTAACGCATTAACGGCATATTGGGGTGTAATTCATCAACTGATTACTACTACATTCTGACCTTTAGGGGTCGACTTCATTAACGTCTTTTATCTATTGTTAAAACACAATTACACAGAAATATAAAACTGTTTTATTTTACCAAAAAAAATCAAATACTCGCTAGTTTCGTTTTACTTTTTTTTCTAGCCAGTTTTTTCACATTCACTAATGTACGCTCGGAAAATGTTTTTAGATAAACACTCGCCTAAAGGAATATGCACTCCATTTTTATTACGTCATAAACTCAGTTAAAAAATTAACGTCTGAATAGAATAAGTTTGTTTTGGTTACCGAACATGGAATAAATATACTAACAATTTACTGGACAGAACCAGCTCATATCAACTGTTGTTTGTTTGTTTTTTTCACCTTGACTGATACGCTAGTGTATTTATGACGTCACAGTTTAATATATTTCTAATCTTTCGCGTACCACCAGAAGAAAGTCACTAGGTTTATAACATTGTGTAGCTTTATGCTTAACAACAAATAAACAAAAATCTTTCTCGTATGGTTAATAAGGTTACAGGTTAATATCTCAGTAATTTTTTCTATTGTGGTTTTTGGCGTCACACTTTAATAGCTTAGTGATTTTTCAAATACGGTTTATGATGTTAGAGATTTGAATATCGTAGTTCAAGGACACTGGAGTTTTAAAACGAAAATAAAGTTATTTTTATAACTAGTGAAAGTAACTTACCTAGCTATTTTACAAAAAACAAAAATGAAATGACAGTAATGAAAATATATAATAAAGTAACAAAATACTGAAAGAAAAATACAGTTCTTTGACTTACATCAGCCTTTGTCAGTAATATTTATTTAACCTAGCTTTTCACAACAGAAAAACATAATTCAAGTTTAATTACTAAAAGGTTAAGAATTACACATAAAAAAGTTAGGAACTACATATTAAAAGGTTAAGAATTACACATTAAATTGTTAAGAATTACACATTAAAAGGTTAAGAACTACATAATTTTTTTTAGCATTGATAAGGATTGCAGAATATAAGAATACTACTGGACCAATAGTGGTTCGTAAATATTTTTTGTCCCTTTTGCATACTTAATTACTTTAAATAACTCTTTAGAAAATCACGAACTCGGTATTTTCTACACTACAAGATAGCTTGGAATATATCTAAGTTTGAAAGTATTGGGACAATTATATTAATAGCAAAATGCAGTTAATATTTTAATAGTAATAACATCGATTTCAAAAACAGTAAACGCTAGGAATGGTAAAGAAGAGAACCTAATGTATCAGAATTTAATGTTAAAAGTTTTGCGATATAATGCACATTTTTCAAGTTTATGGTTACTATGTTTTTATATTTTCCACGAGTAGAGCGCACAATAATAGTAGAGCACACAGTAATAACTTCCTTCACCTGATATGGGGGAGTAGAGCACACAATAATAGCTTCCTCCACCTGATATGGGGGAGTAGAGCACACAGTAATAACTTCCTCCACCTGACATTGGGGAGTAGAGCACACAGTAATAGCCTCCTCCACCTGACATTGGGGAGTAGAGCACACAGTAATAACTTCCTCCACCTGATATGAGGGAGTAAAGCACACAATAATAACTTCCTCCACCTGATATTGGGGAGTAGAGCACAAAGTAATAGCCTCCTCCACCTGATATGGGGGAGTAGAGCACACAATTATAGCTTCCTCCACCTGACATTGGGGAGTAGAGCACACAATAATAACTCCCTCCACCTGATATTGGGGAGTATAGCACCCAATAATAACTTCCTCCACCTGATATTGGAGAGTAGAGCACACAGTAATAGTCTCCTCCACCTGATATTGGGGAGTAGAGCACACAATAATAGCTTCCTCCACCTGATATGGGAGAGTAGAGCACACAATAATAACTTCCTCCACCTGATATGGGGAGTATAGCACACAATAATAGCTTCCTCCATCTGATGTGGGGGAGTAGAGCACACAATAATAGCTTCCTCCACCTGATATGGGGCTTTAGCTCATGCTGTTTGCTCAATTCTGAATATCTACACACTTTAAAACTGGAGCAGTTTGATATAATAATTTACTATATAACGTGAATTACTAAATTTGCACTGTTTTCAACGTTATTCGATTCTTTTTAGTTTGAACAAATATTTAGTTAATGGGAAAAATATTATTATTATTTCTGCCAACAACTGACATTTTAAAAGACTATATTTCAAGTCTATCCACATCATATATTTTTATATGACTGGTTCATGTTCTAATCACATCATCATACACTACTTACTCAATGATTATTCATGTGTGCATGTATACTATGTGTGCAGGGTCCCCGAAAATGTTCTGTTTCAAAAGTAAATAAAATCAAAATTAAGAGTAACAAATATTCGTATTTTTTGCTTTTGAAACTCATATGACGTACTGTGTTGTAGCTTAAAGAGTGCATAATACTTCTCGTTATTCATGGCATGCGCACTTTTTACTGACGTCATAACAGTATAAATTGCAACGTTAAGCGTCCCTTATGTGACGTAATTTTAGTGCCAACTGACTGACAGACAACATAGTACTGTAAAGTGGTGCGAGTGGTTAAAACAAGTGACCACTCCAGGCAGCCTTTGGCCCCCTTTTGGGGAAATTATAGAATAATTAGTCATTCTTTCCGGTCACTTAGATATATCGGTCAGTTAGTAATTGTTTATAGCTGTTAACAATAGATATTACTGAGTAAGTACTTGTATTTACCTGTTAACAACTTCATCATTGACAAACTAAGTGTTCAAGCTCGTTTGTCTACAACTATGCTACTGGCTAATTCGTTGTTTATATTTTGATGAAAGAATTAACACAAGATATCACAAAAACAAATAGATTACAAAAGACCCAGTAACACGAGCGTTTTCAAATAATTAGCTACTCTTCTTCAGGGAGAATAGTGAACTATTTGATAGCGCCCGGTTTTCTGGATTCTTTTGAAATCTAATTATTTATATCTGTCAGCAACACACACACAAATGTATCTTTCTGAACTCAATATTTCGCTTCGTCGGGAGTTATCGATATAATACAAGCTCACTAATCTAGCTAAATAAAGTTAAGAATAACAATATCTTCTACAGTTTAACGTTATATATTTTTATTTAGAACATGTCTGTCTATCTTGCTGGCCCTAGCTACTATTAACAGCATACATTATTTGGACGATTCTCTATGATGTTTCCTTTCGAGGAAATAATATTTACGAAAGACCTAATGTTTAATCAATTTGTCTTTTCTCTAGTGAAACCGCCCCTTGCGTGAGTTAAATCATAAGCATATAAAATATAATGAAGACTTGGATTTTGTTTTTTCACCTTGCTTTATTGATGTCCTTCCTTCCGTAAATAACATCACTATCATATAGAATGTACTTGAGATCTAAGTTTTACTTGGTGTCTTCTTTTCCGTATTGAGGTTTTCCCTTGTGTGAGAACAAGTATTATAGATAAAACGGGTCTTGTTATGGCCTGGTGGTTAGGGCGGTTGATTCCCAATATCTGGGTCGCTGATTCGAATCCTCTCACCAAACATATTCTCACTTTCAGCCGTTGGTCAATCCCATTATTCGATTAGACTAGCCCAAGAATGACGGTTGGTGTTTTTACTTGACACTTCTAAGTTAGGTACGGCTAGTACACATAGCCCATTGTGTAGCTTTGTGCTTAACAACAAACAAAAAACTCGTTAGGTAGTAGTTCCTAGATGGGACGGGAGAGTTTTTTGTTTGTTGTTAAGCACAAAGCTACACAATGGGCTATGTGTACTAGCCGTACCTAACTAGTTACAAGTCCGTAGACTTACCTGTTAGGTAGTAGTTCCTAGATGGGACGGAAGTAAGTCTACGGACTTGTAACTAGTTAGGTTAATGTTAATCTGTTAATTATATTTGGTCATAGCGTATTCTATTCAACAACGTAAGAAAAATGTAAATATATATATATAACACAGCATTTTAACCAAATAATAAACATTTTACTGCCAAAATTTCTCAGTAAAAAGGTAATTATTTCATGAGAAACATAAAGCAACGACTCAAAATATACAGCTCACTTAGTTTATTGTAATTACCAACGTACAAGAATAAAAACAAAACAAACTTACACGTTTATTCACTGCAATACACACACCACAGAGCATGATAATAGAACACTGAACGAATACAATATTTATAATTTATATTGTACAACAAAGTTCGTTATTTTAATACCGAAATAAAAATATGCCAAAATCTTCAACTCACTTAAAACTTAGTTTTATAGAATTTTTTGACAAAAATAATAAATATAAAAATTAGCATTATTAACAAACAATTTACAAAATAAATGAGCTAAATGGAACACAACGTATATCATAAATATAAGTATCTTCTTTTTATTCAACATAGCCATATACGAATAGATTAAACCAAGTTTCAAACTTTTTTTTGTTCGAGGACCATCTGATTTTTTTATCATCTCTGTGAACAACAATGAAATCTATACAATATCCTGCCAATTCCTTTCCGTTAATATGCAACCTTTGCACGGACCATCTGAAGGGTGTCCTCGAACAAACCAAAAATTATACAAGCTTATATCTAAAACAAATATATATGTTTAAAAAAAGTAACATTTACGTTTTTTAATCACTTTAGTACACTCAACGCTTTCATTATACTAAATCAAATACAAATATGTTAAATTAACTTGCCAAAGTTCAACATTATACAATACAGTTACATTTTTCATTGCTTGATGTTGAAAAATGATTGGTAAATAATCGCCGAAGCAAATACATAAATATTAAACCTAGAATACACATAATTCCCAGATGATCAAATCGTCTGTCTGGAAATTTAATATGGAAATTTCTTAGAGGACATGGAAATGTACTGCAGCGTCATTACACCACTATTGACTATTCTCAGGGAATATAAACTAATGACTTCCTGATCTTAGTGAAGTATGATATGTATAAACAAAACAGTCATTTACTGGACATTTTCCAGCACTAATACTGAAGAAGTAATACATTACTTTGAATTGATTTCATAATATATCGTTTGATTCCAGTGTCTCTACCCTAGTCCTAATGAAGGGGGTAAAGTCACATGTAAATGAGCTAGTATTATGTCTGAACTTAAACCACATGATTTCGCTTAACAAAGTGTTAATAGTTTATTTACAGAAGTCAGGTTTTGTGTGATAAGATAAAATACATGCTTCTTTGATTTCTAACTTGACACTAACAAAGTAGCGAGGCCAGATGTTGTGTAGTGAGCTACACGTTTCTTTGATTTTTAACTTCACACTAACAATGTAGCGAGGCCAGATGTTGTGTAGTGAGCTACACGTTTCTTTGATTTCTAACTTGACACTAACAAAGTAGCGAGGCCAGATGTTGTGTAGTGAGCTACACGTTTCTTTGATTTTTAACTTCACACTAACAATGTAGCGAAGCCAGAAGATGTTGTGTTGTAAAGTACATGATTTATTGATTTCGCTTGGTGAGATATTAAGTTCACAGTAATATATATATATGTTTTGACAATCAGTTATCTCATAAAATAATCAACATAAAAATATCTGTTCACAGAAAAATGATTGATAATTATCCAAAAGGGGTGGAACAGGAATACATATATAAGGTTCAGCACGAGAACATTTTTAGCCAAGGTAAATTAGGCACTATAAAAACTAGAAAACAGAATACAAGTGAACGTTAGCCAGTAATTAAAGAGAGTAAATCGAATTCAGATTACTTTCAGTAAGGATGAAATGTTGTAGAAGTGCAGATAAACTGTGAAATCCTGCTTTTGGTTTATTTGTTTAAACAATAAGTTCAAATGTTTCCAACATTTAACTAGCCGAATTTTTAAATCATCTTTATTAGGATCAGCGCCAGATCGTTAGAAATGAAAATTATGTTTCTAAATGTTGACTATTATTACAAGGCCCGGCATGGCCAGGTGGATAGGGCGGTCGACTCGCAATATGCGGGTCGCGGGTTCGAATCCCCGTCACACCAAACATGCTCACCCTTTCAGAGATGGTGGTGGGTGGTGATGACTAGCGCAGATATCCCTCGTGTAGCTTTGCGCGAAAATCAAAGAAACAAACAAATTATTACAAAATAAAAGCTTTCAATACGCTAATGATACACTTAAGTTGTGTTAACTCTAAAACTAAAAGGAATAATCCAATAACAGCTTGTGGAAACCCGTGATAATTGTCACAAGAATTAATTTGCTTTTCAATATTTCATCGAATCGAAATCTGGGGCTCTTCATTGAGTTTATGTAATTAGGACGATGTGTCTAATGAGTTTTATTCTGTTATATCGCAGTTGATGAGTTCACATTCTCGGACATGAACTTAACTTGCGAATGTAAATCTCATTAAAAAGGCAACATGTAATAACAAAGTATTAGTTGAAAATCAGGTCTCGATAATTTTAGGAGTTAGATTACAAACATGTGCGTACATTCTGCGTATTGGAGTTTGAGGAAAGGGGGTTTCGAATTGCGTTATAAATGACAGTCTTTGCTTCTGAGCAAGGAATGCTACTATTATGTGTTATTTTTCTTTCGAAACGTGTTTACTCTGATGTCACCTTTTTGGCTTGCGGTCGAAGATTGTGGGTGAGATGTAGGCTAGCTTTACGAACTGTGGAATACGAGCTGGAAGCGTCGTAACGCTTCAGACTGCTGGTTTCTCCATATCTTCTAAAAGATAGCAAGCGAAGGTAAATTTGTCGGAAACCTGTTCGAAACTTAGAACTCATCCACCAATATATGAGAGGATTATAAAACGTGTGGCTCATGGCCAACCAGTGGCAAACAAACCACACGTATCTTATGTTATTGAGGTTCCAGAGAGTAGGGTCCTGATCCCCCACCACTATTAGAGTGTTAAACGGCAGCCAGCAAACGGTGAAGACTGACACTATGGTAACCATCATCTTGATCATCTAACAGAAAATATAATCAACATTTAAAATATGCAGCGATTTATCTAATAAAAAAAACATATTTAAAAAACTGTATATAAACTTTTTAATGTTATCATCTCTTCAAATACAAGTAAAAAACTGAGTTCACAAAATTAAATACATTATTCAAAATCATTTTAACATTTTAAAGTAAAACTTCGAAAACAAGAATGATGTTTTGGTGAGGCGTGCAACACTGTTAGTTTACAACATACACGAAGA